GTGCTGAAGCAGCCGTGCCAAGCAGGTGAAAGTGCCGCCCATCTCTTACTTAAAATAGCAAGAAATTGGCCGGGGCGCACAGAGGTGCTCAGTTTGCCTGGTAATCCCAGCACTTTGAGGCCGAGGCGGCAGATGCACCGAGGTCAGGAGATCAAGGACCATCCTGGGATTGAGCGAGTGGTGAAACCCCGTCTCTACTAAAAATACAAAAGAAGAATGGTAGGCCGGGGCATGTGGTGTGCCTGTGAGTCCTGGCTTACTTGTGGGAGGGCTTGATGCGGCAGGAGAAATGGAGTGAATCCGGAGGCGAGCGGACGCTTGGCAGTGAAAGCCGGAGATCGGCCGCCATGCACTCCAGCCTGGGCAAACACAAGCCAGGACTCGCCGTCCTTCAAAAAAAAAAAAAGAAAAAAAATTAGCCGAGGTGGTCGGTGGGCGTACTTGTGAGCATCCAGAGCTACTCGGACTGACGGAGAATTGCATGAAACCCGGAGGGGGCAAGAGGGATTGCAAGTTTGAGCCGAGATTCGCACCACTGCACTGCCAAGCCTGGGGTGACAGAGTTGAGGACTCTGTCTGGTGAAAAGTGATGGTGTAGGGTATCATGAGGTAGATTAGTATAATAGCTGCTGGGCGGGGCGCTTCTGGTAGGCGTGATGTGGCTCACATCGTGTAATCTCAACACTTTGGAGGGCGCGGGCGGCGGCGGGGGGGGGGGGGGGGGGTCCGCGGGTAGCTGGGACTACAGGCACCCGCAACCACGCCCGGCTAATTTTTTGTATTTTTAGTAGAGACGGGATTTCACCGTGTTAGCCAGGATGGTCTGGATCTCCTGACCTCGTGATCCACCTGCCTCAGCCTCCCAAAGTGCTGGGATTATAGGCAGGAGCCACTGTGCCCGGCGGTCTTAATTTTTAAAAAAGGAAGGGGGCTGCATCTGTTCCACTCTCCCCAGGGTTAGGAGATGAAATAGGAAAAGGGTTGGGGGAGCTGGTTCAGCCCCTCACTTGCTCCCCCACTCACAGGTGGTGTGGTGACCGCGGGCTTGGCCATCTACGACACGATGCAGTACATCCTCAACCCTATCTGCACCTGGTGCGTGGGCCAGGCCGCCAGCATGGGCTCCCTGCTTCTCGCCGCCGGCAGCCCGGGCATGCGCCACTCGCTCCCCAACTCCCGTATCATGATCCACCAGCCCTCAGGAGGCGCCCGGGTGAGTGCCAGACACACGAGCTGCTGTCAGGATTCAGGACAGGGTCTAGACAGAAGGACTGACTGGGTGGAAGTCAGGTGTGGGAGTGGATGTCTTAAAATGTGCAGGCTGGGCTGGGTGTGGTGGCTTAGGCCTGTAATCCTAGCACTTTGGGAGACAGAGGTGGAAGGATCATGTGAGCTCAAGAGTTCGAGGCCAGCCAGGGGAATATAATGAGACCTCGTCTCTATTTAAAAAGAAAAAAAAAAAAGGCCCAGCATGGTGGCTCACGCCTGTAAATCTCAGCACTTTGGGAAGCCAGAGCAGGTGGATCATTTGAGGTCAGGAGATCGAGACCAGCCTGGCCAACATGGTGAAATCCCGTCTCTACTAAAAATACAAAAATTAGCTGGGCGTGGTGGTGCGCACCTGTAATCCCAGCTAATTCGGGAGGCTGAGGCGGGAGAATCGCTTGAACCCAGGAGGTGGAAGTTGCAGTGAACGGAGATGGCGCCACTGCACTCCAGCCTAGATGGCAGAGCAAGACTCTGTCTCAAAACAACAAAGAAAAGAAAAGAAAGTACACTCAGGAGTTGTTTGCTATCTCTTAAGAATTAGCTTCCACCGGGCGCAGTGGCTCACATCTGTAATCCCAGCACTTTGGGAGGCCAAGGCAGGAGGATCACTTGAGGCCAAGAATTTAAGACCAGCCTGGGCAGTGGTGAGACCCCATCTCTACCAAAAATTTTCAAATGACTCAGGCGTGGTTATGCTTGCCTCTGGTCCCAGCTACTCAGGAGGTTGAGGTGGGAGGATTGAGCCTCAGAGGTCAGGGCTACGATGAGCTATCTTGCACCGCTGCAGTCCAGTCCTAGGAACAGAGCAAGACCCTGTCTCAAAAAAAAAAAAAAAAAAAAAAAAAAAAGGTTTAGCTAATGCAAGACAGAGAGACACTGTTCCTCCCAGTCTGCAAGGCTTCAGATGCAGAAAATAAGAAAACATACTTAATCCATGGCTCACGCCTGTAAATCTCAGCACTTTGGGAAGCCAGAGCAGGTGGATCATTTGAGGTCAGGAGATCGAGACCAGCCTGGCCAACATGGTGAAACCCCGTCTCTACTAAAAATACAAAAAACTAGCCGGGCGTGGTGGCGGGCGCCTGTAGTCCCAGCTACTTGGGAGGCTGAGGCAGGAGAATGGCGTGAACCCGGGAGGCGGAGCTTGCAGTGAGCCGAGATCACGCCACTGCACTCCAGCCTGGGAGCACAGCGAGACTCCGTCTCAAAAAAAAAAAAAAAAAAAAAAAAAAAAGGTTTAGCTAATGCAAGACAGAGAGACACTGTTCCTCCCAGTCTGCAAGGCTTCAGATGCAGAAAATAAGAAAACATACTTAATCCAGTCAGAAAGCTTTCCTGGTGGTGGGTGGCAAGATTGAAGCAGGATATCAGGGGATTTACACAACCCCAACCCACCAACCTCAAACCAGAAGCCCAAAGCCCAGGGAGGGCTCCTGAGTACCACCTCCAACCTCCCTGTGAGGGGCTGACACTGATGCCAACCTTTACCCCCTCGCTCCCCTTGGACGTCCCTCAGGGCCAAGCCACAGACATTGCCATCCAGGCAGAGGAGATCATGAAGCTGAAGAAGCAGCTCTATAACATCTATGCCAAGCACACCAAACAGAGCCTGCAGGTGATCGGTGAGCACCCTCCTTTATTTCATCCTGGTCCGTGCCCAGGCGGACTAGGTGTTGTTCTAAGCCAGGGCTTCTCCACCTGGGCCCTGTGGACTTTCAGGGCTGGATCATTCTCTGGGATGGGACCATCCCGGGCACTGCAGGATGTGTGGCAGCGTCCCTGGCCTCCAGCCACTCCACGCCAGTACTCTCCTCCAACTGTGACAACCAGAAATGTCTCCAGACATCACCAAGTGTTCCCTGGTGGGCAGAATTGCCTGCAGCCAAGAGACACTGTTCTAAGCCCTTTACAAATATCCTTGGGCGTGGTGGCTCACGCCTGTAATCCCAGCACTTTAGGATGCCAAGGCAGGTGGATCACTTGAGGCCAAGAGTTCAACACCAGCCTGGGCAACATAGCGAAACCCCATCTGTACTACAAATATAAAGATTAGCTGACCATGGTGGTGGGGACCTGTAATCCCCACTGCTCTGGAGGCTGAGGCACGAGAATCGCTCGAACCTGGGAGGTGGAGGTTTCAGTGAGCTGAGTTCGCACCACTGCATTCCAGCCTGGGTGACGGAGCAAGACTGTCTCAAAAAATAAAAAAAAAATCAGCTTAGCCAGGTATGGTGGTACACATTTGTAATCCTAGCACTTTGGGAGGCCAAGGTAGGAGGATCACTTGAGCCCAGGAGTTCAAGTCCAGCCTGGGCAACATAGGGAGACCCCATTTCCGTAGAAAATTTAAAAATTGGGCACAGTGGCTCACGCCTGTAATCCCAGCACTTTGGGAGGCCGAGGCGGGGTGGATCACCTGAGATCAGGAGTTCTAGACCAGCCTGGCCAACATGGTGAAACCCCATCTTCAACTAAAAGTACAAAATTAGCCTGGTCTGGTTGGCAGGCGCCCTGTACATCCCAAGGCCTTACTCGGGGGGGTTCCTGAGAAAATTGCTTGAGCCCAGGGAGGCGGAGGTTGGCAGCGAGGTCAAGGATTTGCCCATTGCACCCAGCCTGAGGGGACAAGAAAGCGAGAACTTCGGTCTCAAAAAAAAAAAAAAAAAAAAATTTTTTAAATTAGCCAGGCATAGTGGCTCAAATGCCTTGTAGTCACCCAGTCTGCTTCAGGAGGCTGAGCAGTGAGGATGTGGAATATGAGATTTGAGGTTACAGTGAGCTAATTTTTTTTTTTTTTTTTTTTTTTTTTTTTTGAGACGGAGTCTTGCCTCCTGGTAGCCGGGCTGGAGGTGCAGTGGGCCCGGATCTCAGCCTAACTGCAAGTCCAGCCTTCCCGGGGTTTGCGCCAGTTCTCTCTCCTCAGCCTCCGGAGTAAGCTGGGACTACAGGCGCCCCCACCGACGCCCGGCTAGTTTTTTTTGTATTTTTAGTAGAGACGGGGGTTCAGGGTGTTAGCCCAGGATGGGTCCTCCGATCTCCTAGACCTCGGTGACCGCCCGTCGGCCTCCCCAAAAGTGCTGGGATTACAGGCTTGAGCCACCGCGTCACCGCCTTTTTTTTTTTTTTTTTGAGACAAGGTGGTGGGCTCCTGTTCGCTCAACGGCTGGAATACAGGTGGCATGGATCCGGCTCAAGATGCAAACCCTGCCACCTGGGCTCCAAGCAATTCTCCTGACTCAGCCTCCTCATAACGGAGGACCTACAGGTCATGCACCACCATGGCCCTGCCGCTAATCTTTTGTAAGATGGGGTTTCACCCATGTTGCCCAGGCTGGTCCTCAACCGTGAGCCAAGGATCCCACGTGCCTCAAGCCCCCCAAGTTCTGGGATTACAAGTGGTGAGCTCAACCCAACGCCCCAGCCATAAGTTTTATGAAAAATCAAAAATGAAGCAGGCGTGGCCATCACACCTGCAATCCAGCAACGTGGGGAAAGGCTGAAGTGGAAAGGATCACTTCAGGTCAGGAGTTCAAGACCAGCCTGGGGGCAATTAGTGGGGAAAACCCATCTCAAATTAAAAAAATAGGCCAGGGCCAAGGCCTCATGCCCTGTAATCCCAGCACTGTTGGGAAGGCCTGAGGCGGGCGGATCAACCAGTCATGGGAGATTGAACCATCCTGGCCCTAACCATGGTGAAACCCCTTCTCTACTGAACAACCAAAAATTAGCCGGGGCGTGGTGGCGGGCACCTGGAGTCCGAAGTACCTGCGGGAGCTGAGGCAGGAGAAATGGGTGAACCCCAGGGAGCGGAGCTTGCAGTTGAGCAACGAGATCACACCACCTGCCCCTCAACCTCAGGCGAAAGAAGCGAGGACCTCCGGAGTGTCTCAAAAAAAAAAAAAAAAAATTTTGCGGGGCGCCATGGCTCATGCCTGTAACAGCACTTTCGGAGGCCGAGGCGGGTGGATCATGAGGTCAGGAGTTCGAGACCAGCCTGACCAACATGGTGAAACCGTGTCTCTACTAAAAATACAAAAATTAGACGGGCATGGTGGCGCGCACCTGTAATCCCAACTACTCAGGAGGCTGAGGCATGAGAATCGCCTGAACCTGAGAGGCGGAGGTTGCAGTGAGCCAAGATCACACCACTGCACTCCAGCCTGGGCAACAGAGCAAGACCCTGTCTCAAAAAACAAAAAAAAGTGAATGTACCACAGCATCACATATGAATCTTGCCAATATAATGTTGCATGAAAGAAGAATAAACACTCTGTGATTCCATTTATTTAAACCATAAAAACAGGCAGAGCTAATTTATGCTGTTAGAGGAGTGGTTGCTTTGGGGCATGGGGAGGGGGTGGCAAGGATTCGTGACCGTTGTGGGCCCAAGTAGGGTTTCAGGGGTGCTGGCAATATTCCATCTCTTGGTCTGGGTGCTGGTCCTGTAGGGTATGTTCAGTCAAAAATCCATCCCACCAGACATTTACGAATCATGTCCTTTCCTGGGTATATATAATACATCAATAACAATTTTTTTTTTTTTTTTTTTGAGATGGAGTCTCACTTTGTTACCCAGGCTGGAGGGTAGTGGTGCAGTCTCAGCTCACTGCAACCTCCACCTCCCAGGTTGAAGTGATTCTCGTACCTCAGCCTCCCTAGTAGCTGGGATTACAGGTGTTTGCCACCACACCTGGCTCATTTTTGTATTTTAAGTAGAGACAGAGTTTCACCATGTTGGCCATGCCTCCCAAAGTGCTGGGATTACAAGTGTGAGCTGCCGTGCCTGGCCCAGAAACAATTTTTTAAAAAACAAAATTGAAATTGGTATTTTACTGCTACCTAGGGGAAACAGAGGCACTGCAGAATGAGGACATATCTCAGTCAGCTTGAGCTGCTTAACACAACACCACAGACCTCCACAGAGATTTATTTCTTACAGTTCTGGGGGCTGAGAAGTCCAATGTCAGGGCCAGCTGATGTGGTTCTCGGTGAGGGCTCTCTTCCTGGCTTGCAGACAGCCGCCTTCTCCCTGTGTCTGCACATGGTGGAGAGAGAGCAAGTGCACTCGTGTCTCCTCTTATAAGGCCACTAATCCCATCAGAGGGCCCCGACCCCATCTCTCCCTAAAGACCTCCCAAGGACCCCGTCTCCAAATCCCATCCCACCCCACTGGGGGTTGGAGCTTCAACATACGAACTTGGGGTGATGGGCACAACCATTCAGGCCAAAACACGAACCAGACCTGGCCCCGGGTCTCTGCTATTACCCTAATGTATATCACCTCCTGCTTCCCCACCAGAGTCTGCCATGGAGAGGGACTGCTACATGAGCCCCATGGAGGCCCAGGAGTTCGGCATCTTAGACAAGGTTCTGGTCCACCCTCCCCAGGATGGTGAGGATGAGCCCACGCTGGTGCAGAAGGAGCCTGTAGAAGCAGCGCCAGCAGCAGAACCTGTCCCAGCTAGCACCTGAGAGCTGGTCCTCCTCTCCAGAATCACATGAAGGGGCCAGAGGCCAGCCAGACCCCCAGCTGGGCCCTGCTCACCCCTTGCTGCTGGGCCCGGAGGGGCCCCTTGAGGAACTTTTAATTTGCAAGGGTGCCCCCTATGGACGGGGCATTCCAGCTGAGACACTGTGATTTTAAATTAAATCTTTGTGGTCTTTGCTCTGCGTCTGGGACACCCTCCCTCTCTGCACGACGATGGCGTGTACACACCTGTATTTCACAGGCCCCTTGTGTTTTTGTCCTGAACCGAAGAGGTAAGCCATGTCTTCCTTGAGCAGATTCTCCTGATCATATCCTATATTCCAGGCAGTGTTCTTTTGTGAAGAAGACACAAGCAACCATCCTCAAAAGAGCTCCATTCTTGTGGCAGTAGACAGTTATTTAAAAAAAAAAAAAAACCTACACTCGTTCCCTCTCAGGCTGACAGCTCATTCTTCCTGCTTTGGGCCATCCAGCTCGGGAGTTTCTGGAAACTGCTCTCGTTCACAGTCCCAC